ATAGTTGCATATTTCATATTAATATTTTTTTTTGGTCAACTAAATTACCAACTCTAAATTATCTACAAATCTGATATTCTTTTACATGAGAAAAGTTTTTTATATATTTACTCTAAATGACTTCTGTTTTAATAGTATAGAGATATCTATTCTCCGTGAAAAAAAAAAAAAAAACCTTATTGGGCCTATAATTCCCTTGAGACTAGTAAATTGGCAAGCAGAAAATAAGGAAAGGGGGAGTGGGAAGGAGGAGGAGGGTTCATGTTGATGTTATATATACAGTATAGAGAGGTTAAAAGAGAGACGAAGCCATTGAAGCGTCGCGAAGTTTCTTCTGTTGAGGTTTGAGATATTTGTTAATTCTTTCTTTCTCTTTGGATTTCTTCGATCTTAGGGTTTTATCATCTTCGCTTCGCTTTGTTGGAACTTGGTTAGAGTATTTGTAGCTTTTCTTTCTTCTATCAATTAGTAGTATCTTCCCCAATTTCTCACGGATTTGGAGTACCCTAATTGCATAAGCTATGAAATAGACAGTATTATTATTATTATTTGTTGCTTGCTTAATCTATTCACTAAATCTTTGTTCCTTTGTTGGTCTTTCCTTCACTAAAGACGAAGGGGATATTTATGGGTTCAGGTGAAGCGTTTCCCGTGATGCAGGTAACTCCAAAGACTGTTGAATCAAACTTCCTTTTTCTCGGTTCTTTTGCTAAGATCTTCCACTTACCATTTGGACTAAATTTTCGCAGGAAGTCTTGCTTGAGTTTCGTGCTGGTAAGATGTCTTTGCAGGGAACAAGAGTTGTCCCTGATGCACGAAAAGGACTTGTCCGCATCGCAAGAGTAATGTTCACACTCTTATTTTCCCTTTACTACTATTTAGTACCGCATATCCAAGTATTCAACATTCTTCCATTGAAAATAGTGGCACAATTACTGGAACTAATGCATCTCAGATTCTATTTTTTGGTGTGTCAGTATTAAGTATTTTACTGGTTCTCTTCAAAGTTTATCTGAATTCTGTCTTTTAACCCCAATCCTATGTTTTAGGGTGAAGAGGGACTGATTCATTTCCAGTGGCTTGATCGAAGCCAGAATAAGGTTGAAGATGTATCCTTTGGAC